AGGAGAGAGGTGGTGCGCTGTTGTGGGACGGGAGGTGTTAGGGTTGCGATAAAGGGGTCGGATTAGGGTTTGTTGATGAGACAGATGGAAATGATACGCAGGGACAAAGCAGATGAAGATGGGCGTGTGGAAAAGGTGAAGGGAGGACAGGAAAACGTTTAAGGTCATGCATGGAGGGAGAGAAGAAAGAGAAAAAGAGAACAGTAAGAATCTACAGGAGCTTCTTTTTGACAGTAAGTCAACAGAACTTTAATTCAATGCAGATTTTATAAACCGACTGCATCAGGACAAAACCTGCTGAGCGATTCTGTAACGAAGGGCTGACAGTTAAAAGAAGGAAAATGCAAAGGCATGAGAGACGACGAGGGGGAGATGGCCTCAGTCAAAGTGAAAGCAAAGTGTGAACAGTGAAAAAAAACTGTTCACCTATTTTAAAACAGCATTTTCTCATCAGGGATTTAATGAATAGTTTTCAACGGAAACGTGAGATTTATTTATGGGCGTACCATTATGTGTCCTGGCTGCGTGCCCTTTGTTGCCCTCCTCGTGCTTTGCAGAGTCGAGGCAGCCCAGTGGGCTCAGAGAGTCACTGTGAAGCGCTGGTAAGCCGGGCAGCCCTCCACGGCGGAAACAGTGTCCCTGCACTGCTGGCAGCATTGGTGGCACCGCCCCTCTCTTCAGCCCCAGTGATGAAGGAGGAGGAGTAGGGGGTAACGGCGCTGATGCCCCCGCCTGTTTTATCGTGGGCGGGGTCTGCAGGGGGCCGAGGCCGGCTGAAAGGGGGCAGGAGAGGCTGTGCGTTGGCTTAGGGCTGGGGGTGCAGGTGGAGCAGGTCCCGGAGCTGGGTGCTCCCTGGAGTCGGACCGGGGAGTAACTCCCAAGAGGCGAGGGCCTAACCGATCCAGGAGGAGGAGCCGTTGTGATGAGAGAACCCTGGAAGCTGTGGACTTTCTCAGCTGCGTCGTCGCCGTCCTCCCCGACTGGACCTCCAGACCCAGAGCCTGAGCCCAAGCTGGAGCGGGCCTGCATGCTAGAGATGTAGCCTGTGAGCAGGGGCGCCAGGGGCTTGGGCTGGGGGGCTTTAGCTGCAAACTGGTGGTGGAAGGTAAAGGGCTGGATGGGAAGGGTCGTGGGCCGCTGGTCCTTGCTGTAGCGGACCACTGCTGAGCGGCTGTCTGCAGAACTGGAGAGACCACCTAGAAGAGCCCAAACACAAACTGCTTAGTTCTAGTTTGCCACACGTTTAACAGTACAGACCTGCTCTGACAGCAACAACAAACAAAGATATAAAAAGTCCTGACTCAAAACTGCAACTGAGGACTGTTAATGTACTGAATATATCCAGGAGTGTCATTATGTGTGTCTGTGGGTGTGCGCGCTTCACCGTTAATCCAGCCGGCTTCATATTTGTCGGCTGTATTGTTGAGTAAATGCGGTGCCAAGTTTGAGGTATTTTGATGGAATGCTTTTCATGTTTTTGTGCTTACTGTCTTTCCTCGGGGCAGATGAAAAGCTCTTCTTCTTAGATTATCACAACTAGCAGCAGCTCTGTCAACTCCCTGCATGTGAGACGTTCAGGGGACATATTTGAAATGCAGAAACAGAACCCTAACCCCGTCCACAAGTGAAGCATTTGCAATAATGAGCTGTCAGTGCTGCAGCTGCATAGCCAAGTGTTTAATGTGTTTACCAAGATGTCACAAATGCATCTTTTACTCCCATTTATATTCTCTTTGACCTCTTCTCTGAAAGCGGAGACAAGCTGACCTCAGTACAAATGTGTGTTGCAAATATTTATTTCCACTGTGGATTCCCTTTTGCCGATTATTTGATTTCTCGGTTAATAATTTAGGAAATAAAATAAGATTATCACAGACTCCTCCAAATTCCTCACACTGTCCAATCAACAGGCTAAAGCTAAAAGTCAATACATTTATAAAGACTCAAACACCACACATATTCACAGCTCAGATACGCAAACAAATAAATAAAGAAATGAAATAAAATCAGGCCGGCGTAGAAACTCATGAACCTGCAGGTCATCGCAGCTCAAGACTGCACAAACAGAAAGGTTAGAAGTGAAACCACAACACACAGCAGAAAACTGCCCGGTCATAAAGCTCAACCGCTCTTATCACAGAGAACCACACTGCTATTCACAGGCCCACATGCCCACGCACACTCACTCACACAGACACATAAAGACAAACACACACATGCAGACTAAACCTGGGAAAGTCAGGAGACACAGCAGCGAGGAGAAGCCTTTGTCTGCAGTGTGTGTGTTTGTGTGTGCGCTCCTAGATCCAGCGCACTGGGTGACAGACCGTGACGTGTGACGTCAGCGGGGTTGCGCAAGCTGTTTGTCGCCCAACGGCCGGCCCACCAGTGCCACCTGACCCGAGTGCAGTAGCTGTTTCTCAGCCACAGAGGGCGACAACAAGCTGCTGTGGAAAGCGGGGGGGAAGGGAGGGCGGAGTGAGAGGAATACACACCCAGCAGGACTCAGCTCCCACTGGGATGGAGAAGAGAAGCCCTCATTCTCCGACTCTGGATCTGCTCTGTCATCCTTCTAATTGGACTCATTTCTTTTCTCGCTAACTCGCCTCTCCCAACTTCATTCTTCTTCTTCCTCTCTGCCTGTTTTTCTCTTCGGCTCTTCTCCTGTTTCACAGATGAATCCATTAGACAGCCGAAGCTTTTCCTTTGCAGCTCTCTGCTTTATGTTAGCATCATTAGTGAGCAAGCTGTCTCCCAGAGGCTTTTACTGAAGCCTGTACTGTACTGCGGTGAAACAACACAGCTGACTGAAGTGAAGTCTAATGAATAATATATGTGCTGAGATTCTGCACAGCCTTTCATTACAGCCTTAAATTATCACGGCCTTTATAGACACAGCGTTACAAACTAAGGGAGGAACGTGCCTCTATTCTTTGGGATGATCCTTTACCAAATTTCCCCTTGCCTTCTAAATTATCAATAAATCCTCAGTTTCACTTCCCAGCTGAAGGGCTTAAAGACTGAAATACAATCTGTTTCAATCACTACTTTCATCTATACTCAGTAAATCTGGTGAGGTGATGTGTTCTAGGTTGTTCCTGCAGGTAGAAGGAAAGAAATACAACATTTCTGTTTTGTGCATAAAAGTCTACAAGGACTATTTTAATTATACCCTCAAGTAAAGACAATATTCATTATTGTGATTTAGCTGTAGCGTAACAGAAAAATCAGCTGTTAGATGATCTTTTGGTGTTGAATGCTCTAATGTAAAAATGTAGTTGAAGTGCGGCCCACAGGCTGGTTGTAGCACGCCGTATGTTTTCATGTATTATGGCGCAGCAGAGCAGGACGAAACCCAGAGAGCATTTCTCTTTAATTCCAAGAAACCTTGTTAAATATTATAATTATAATTATTAAAAGATCATACAAGTCCAAAGTAAAACGATTTTTTTATGTTCCTCAAATGATGTTCGGATGACCCAGTTTTCCACTAGCACTTGAATGCAGCATACATTTGTGAATCTGTGTGAAAAGTGCCTCAAAACTGCGCATGCACAAACGGAAGCTCATCATCTAACAATCAAACCTCAAACGCTTGTGCATCAGTGATCATTACTACAGGTACTGATCACTGAAGGTTTCCAAATATGTTTTTGTAACGCGTCTTCAAACGTGTGTAGATCAGAGCACATATTTGTGAATACTCACAATTACCCACAAATCACACACCTCTGTGACACATTTGAGGCTGATTTCTCTCCGTACGCCAGCCGGTCTACAACTATAAAAGGCGACAGCTGGGGCTTCCTGGGATATCACTCTCCCAGTGCTCTTTACCCTCCCTGGTCCTATTCCACAGGAATCCCAAGCATGTGTTTGTGTATTTACCCAAGCAGACAAACAGCGAGCAGCTGAGACTGAGCTGACGACGGTCACTGTTCTTATATGTACAGAAACTGATGGGTTAGTGACTTAATTCATAGAAATAAGTTATCTTGCACAGTTTAAAAGTACCTGAAACCCTAACGAGTCAGAGTTAGTGGCTGAAAACTTTCTGATTGTACTTAAATCCATTCATCCACCTCAGTCCAACACTGTATTTGTGCTAATCTTTGACAATAATCTTTACTTTAACATTAAATTACCAAGTACAGACAGTTATCTAATGCACAGTCTATCCATTTAGTGTACAGTACTGTACAAAAGTCTTGGCCCATCCCTCATTTTACTTTTTTTGCTTCCAAGCACACGCGTGATCTTTTAAAATGAGCATTAGCTCTCTGGGCTTTCTGCAGGTAGTTTTCTTTGGACATTCCACTTCTATTTCTCTCATTTTCAGTTAGTTTCTCTTTAGATTTTTTTTTTGTTTTGTTTTGTTTGTTAAGCTACTTGATGCTCATCTATGAATCATTCGAGCCTGAACCAGTGTTGTAATTGTATATTTAATCACTTTATCGCAGAGGGCTGGTGTGACAGCAGAGGACGTTAGGTGTAGGATGAGCTGTTGTGGCGATCTCTACAAGGAGGAGCTGAAAGAAGAAAAACCTTTAAGCACTTTGTTACTAACAGCCTGTTGCAAACACACATCATTTGACCACATTTCTCAGTTCAATCTAAAAAAATGTCAAAGTATTTTTCCACCAACAAGCTGATTCCCAAAAAGTTATTAGCTCTGAGAAACTGGCGTGTGGCGTGTCTTTACACAATCTGAAGAAACTGGACAAGAAGAGGACAAAAAAAGAAGACGTGGCAGGCTTACAAGAAACTATCCGCAGCAGACGAGCAGCATCTGAAAATCATGTCCTCAAGAAATAGGAAATAAATCCAGCAAAAACCCGAAACAGGACCTGAGAGATGCATCTGGCCCTTGAGCCCCGATCCATCTACTGTTCACTGAAGCCTCATCAGAAATGGTCTCAGTGAAAGGATGGCTGTCAAGGAGCCGTTCTTAAGGAAGGCAAACTGGAAGAAAAGGCTGAGGTAAGAACTGGACTGAAAACCAGTGGCAACAGGTCAAAGCATACCTGGAGAGAAAACCACAAAACAGAACACTGGGACCGGACGTCAACATCACTGAAGCCGTGTCACGGCAGAGAGCAGAGCAAAAAAAACAGCCGACATCCAAAGAAGAGCTCCGAATGTCCTTCAAGAAGCTTGGAGAGCTACTCCTGAACTTGCCCGAGAGAGAATAAACGTGCTCATACCAAATATTGACTTTCAAGCTTGTTAGAATTGTACAAACTCTATTTTTGCCTTGATGCTGTATTTCCATGCATCTTATATCTGCACCCGTTTCCTTTTATCCCAGCAAAATATACAGGAATGAGGGTTGGCTGAAAACTTTTCCATAATGCGATATGTTAACGGCTTTACTCTCCTTTATTTTCATTCACAGGTGCAGATGTTTCAACTTCAAATGATTTCTGTCCACCTAATTGTACAGTACAGAGTGCTTTCATTGATTCCAAATCCATCTTTTTTTTTTAAATTCCTGATTTAGTCTGCAAGAATTACGCCTAAAACTCCACGTGTACTTGTAACAACCAGCATACTGTGCTAAATACATCCAAATTAAGCAGAATTGATCTGTTTTCAGGCACAAACAAAGGCAAAACAGGATTGTGCAGGAATACAGCGACATCTTAGTCATAAGTGACTAAGGTTGGCTGAGAAGGTGATGTGGGTACCATTTCAAGTTCAACAAGCCAAAAAACACTTGACACCAGTAGAAACTCCTCCGTCAGATTCCTCACGTCTCTCAATTGTGGAAAATAATCCAGTGCTACAGATGGAGGTTTGTGTTGAGGTTTCTGAGAATAACTGATCTGTTAAGCCAAATGAAAGGCATCACATTCAAACACAAACTTCATTAGAAGTTTCAGAAATAGAATTGATTGAGAGCGATGACACAGAGGTTTCTATCTACGAGCGCTTGTTTTTGGAAGGATGGCACAAACATGCACGGATATGCAAATATACAAGCCCCACACACACACACACAGCTCAGCAAGCTGATGCAGAGCTCTGTGGGGGGCGGGTGTTTCACTGCATCTTTCTCTCCTCTCTCACCTGTTTGTTATTCTGAGCACGCTTGGCCCACTTCAACCCTTCATTCCATCTAAAGCAGAGCCCACAACCCCAACGCAACCCCACGCACAAACACAACAAACCCACAAGCGACGCACGCGCACGCAGCGCGCGCCGACACACACACACACACACACACACTTCACCACACACACACACCCACAGACAGACACACACACACACACACACACACACACACACAACACACACACACACACACACACACACACACAGACACACACACACACACACACACACACACACACACACCTGCTTGTTCAGGGGCGCAATCTTACACCCAAAAAGTGAAAAAACGCGGCCGAACAAAATGCCTGTCCACACCTGAGGGATATTACCTCAACATTTGTTCACATTTGATGATCTGCTGTTTAAAGTAAGTCTATAAAGTATGTAAAAATGTCAGCATATTTACAATTGAATGAAAGGTTTTAACCGTTTCTGATTTTTAATACAACTTTCTTTCTTTCCCTTATAACGAACTCACAGTCAGGGCTTGATCACATGAGTCATACCTTCGTGATGCTGCTATTGGCTCAGGGTGCAGGGGGAACTTCCCAAACATGTTGCGTTTATATGTCATTATTGCGTGACATCAGCTTTTATCAAACCAAATTCTTTCCACTGGAGTTTGCAGAGCCCAGATAAGTTCAAAGGAAACTATGTATCTTCCATTCATTAGGTGGACAGAAGGAGAACAAATGAATGCAAATGTGCTCGAGGCGGATATGTAGATGGGAAATTCTCTAAGTGTAAAAACTGTCAGTTTAAGCTCTTCTGTCCCTTTGCAACCTAAATGAAGGAATAAATGAGGTTTACACTGTTGTTGTGCAGTGTAAGAGGTGGTGTACCTTCTGCCTTGGCCCGGGTTTCTCTCCCCCCTTCCAGGTGTCGCTCTATGCTGCCTTGACTGTAACATCTGGTAAAGGGTACAGGCGACAGGGCCTGACTGTCAGCCTCGACACGCTGCTCCAGGATCGGAGAAAAGTCCACTGAGGAGTGCGAGTGAGAGGAGACGGCGTCTGAAGCAGCCTTCACCGAGGGCGATCCACCCGCTCCTCCATTTCTTCGTTTGCTTCTAGCTATCTCTGCGAAGGAGGTGACCCTCGGAGGAGGAGGTGGGGTCGCGGCAGCGCCCTCGCTGAGCCGGACGGGGCAGCTCAGCATCCGCTCCAGCGAGCCGAGCCGTGGAGACGGAGACTTGTCCAGGTTGCGATCGTAGCTGCGAGAACGTGGACGGCTTCCTGCAGACGCTCCAATAACGCCCCGACCAGACAGAGGAGGAGAAATGTTGACATACACCTGGCCTTCAATCACAGGACCAGCTTTAGCTCCCTGCTGATTCTTCTTCTTCTCCTCATCATTGTCATTATTATCATCATTATCATCATCCTGCTGAATAACGAGGAATATGAAAAGAAAAGACTGAAAGTTGAACTTTTTCCAAGAGATTATAAAATAAAACATTAGTAGCTGTGGTTAAGAGGTCAAATTAAAAACAAACCAAAGGCTTAAACTGACTAATCCAGATTTGCTTTGACACAGTGGCAGTGGCACTGTTACCGACTGATATTAATACCCTTCAGTCTACATAAGTGCTAAAATAATCCTCAGACATGAGCAGATAACTGCAGACGGTGGCTAGTGTCTAAAACGAGCCAGTGCCAGACTAATACCAGTGTTACTGCTATTTAAAGGTTTCACTGTTTCAGTTTAATTTACAGTTTAGGAGCTCTTTATGTTTCTTCTCCCCATTTTGCCTTTTCTGTTGAGTCAGATGTAATTTCTGTCTCTGTTGTCGATTTGGTCTTGCTTCACTGACCAATTTAGTTTTAGCTACATAAATAACAACAACAGTCACCGCGAAGTGCTTCATATTATAAGTTCAAAGCCTTTACAACCCCAACAATCAGACGACCCCCTATGAATAAGCACTTTGGCGACAGTGGGAAGGAAAAACTCCCCTTTAACAGGAAGAAACCTCCAGCAGAACAAGACTGAGAAGGTGCAGCTTTCTGCCACAACCAGTTGGAGGGGAGAGACAATTAATAAACATTACATCATAATCACTTGTATGTGTAACGTAATTAAACTGACCTTTACTTAACTAAAAACATCAAACACAGATTCAGTGGAGGATAAATCAAAGACTAGATCTTTTACATTAGACTTGGATTATAGATTCTTTATCATCATAAATCCTTATTCACAGTTAAGTGCTGCAGTTATTCAGTAAATCAGTGTATTTACCTTTACACATAATAAATAGGAAAACAAAACTGTCACTGATCATATTCGATTATAATCATATTATATCAAATGGAACCCAATGTGACATTTTAGTTTTGTCAGTGTTACAATTTTACATCACAAAATAGCTGATGAACTTTGACCCTTTGGTCGCACTTCTAGTGGACTGCATTTCCACTCTCGTGTGGACCTTTGCATGCAGTGTATCCTGAAATGGATTAGAAACTGTTGAAACTACAGAGGCCGGATTCTCCACTCACCCTAGATGTCTCTCCCTCTTCATCCTCTTCCTCCACTCCTTCCTCGTAAGCTTGCTGCCTGAAGAGGAAGTACTCACTCGGCTGAGTCGGGGTGGGGCTGCCTTTGCTGTGTTCGTCTGAGCAACTGTGAACCGAGGAGCCCGCGGGACTCGGGGACGACTGCGACGAAAGGTCGCACGTGACCAGTTTGTAGTAGTTCTGGGTGGCGACGACCAGTCGTGCCTGACTCTGGAGACAAGAAGCGAGGTCGCCAGAGGACCCTGCGTGAGGAGGGTGGTAGGAGTTGCAGTTGGCATCGAGGTCAAGAGCCCCCTGGTGCTCCACTGAGCAGGAACAGGTGGAGGAAGAGGACAGGCGTGGTTCACGGATGAGAGGGAATGTGTTTCCAAGTTGTTGAGATAGGGGAGGTTCGGTTGGAGAAGTGTGAAGGTCCAAATAGAAAGCCCCTCCAGTCGAGTCTCGGTTTCCTGGTAGATCGGAAGCAGATGAGGTGCAGGAGTGGTCGGTGGAGCTGTTGAGGTTGGTGGGACCGGAGACTGGTGGCTTCTCTGGGACGCTGTTGTTCATCTTGTTGTAGATGGCACTGAAGTTGACGAGCACACCATCGGAGCTGTTGCAGGAGGAGTCGCTGCCGTAGCCTTGCTGGCACTCTAAGAACGGCTCGGAGAACGCCTCGGGGAAGTGCCGAGGGTAATTCTGGGAGAGAGTACAGCAGGAGCAGTGCTGGGTGGAAGAGCTGGAAGAGTAGGAGCCCGTCTTGCTGCTTCTCCCACACCTCATCGGATGATCTTCGTCTTCTTCGTCGTCATCACCCCAATCTTGATCTCCGCAGTCCATCGACATGTTGGAGCCACTGCTTCCATGGCGCCGTTGACTGGCAAGTTCCAAAATTTCGAGGTCTTCTAGGTGGTTTGAAAGATCCGAGGCGCCACCTCTCAGGGACTCCCCACTACTTCCTCCCACTGAGCTGTGAAGGAGGAAGGGCTGGGGAGCAAAACCAAGGTCGTGCAAATGGAAGGAAGTCAAACCGTCATTGAGAGCAGAGTGAGCGTCACTGTGAAGGTGAAAGGAAGAGTCTTCAAGGTAACCACTGAGGTTGTCACCGTCATCTTCTTCCCCTTCGTCATCCTCGTCCTCTTCGGTATTCAGCAGAAAAGGATTGTGACGGAATGGATTCCTGTTCCTCGGTTTGGCTCTGGGTAATGTGTGCGCTGTAATCAGCTGGTCCTCCGAATTGCTCGAGGCAAATGATGAATCATCGCTGGCTGTGCTGCCGCCTCTCCCGCCACCCTTTCTTTCTCTTCCTCCATTGTGGGAGGACCAGGAGCCACTAGAGGTCTGGATCAGGCTGCTGTAGAGGAGAGCTTCTCTCTGGAGGACGTCTCTCTCCGGAAGGGAAGTGGTGCGACTCAAGCCCAGGTTCTCTGGTGGGCTAAAAGGGTTGGTCCTCTTCATTGAGCTCCCGCAGCCACCCTGCCGCCTACTCGACACCTGACAGTGCACCAGGGGAATGTGGTGCACAATCAGCGTCTCACCAGACAGTTTAGGAGGGCTGTCCATGGCCTATGAGGAGCGAGGGAGGGACTGGAGCTGCAGCAGCTGAGCGAGGCCCTGTACGGGTGAGGGGGGGAGGCTGAAACGAGGTGTGTTGGCAGTTGTATTCACACTCTGTTTGCTGGGCCTCTCTCTGCAGGGCAGCCAGGGATTTGGAAGGAGAGGTCAGGGAAGTCTACACCATGGTCAGAGTGATACATCTGGAAAACACAAAGACAAATGAAGTTAGGAAAGCAGGCAAATACACGCACGCGCACATGCACACACAGGGGTTGAGGCTACAAGGTTGTAAAAAAAAGCCAGTGAAACGGTGTTAGATAAAAAATTAAAAAAGCTGGGAAAAAAAGGCTGTTTTATTGGTGTTTGGTGTCCTTGTTAAACACGGGACATCAGAGCAGAGTTTTCAGTTAGTAGGTAACATCCGAGGCACTTAGTGTACCAGGACTTTGGTACCCTATGTACCGCAGCCAGCTGCATGCTTTTTACTAGCAGCTCCACCAATATTATGGTGATATTCTGTCCTCATATTCGACATCATCAAGATATCCACGGACAATCTGCCCAGGTATAATGTGATAAATCAACTTCTATTCTATAGATGTTTCTTCTTTCTTGAGCAATTTCTTGGCCGAATGGTTGAGATCAAATGGAAACCACAGCAATGAGCTTTCAGTTTGAGTAAAACAAACCGTTAAAATGTCCCTTTCAGTGTCTTGAGGCACAAATCTTCTCCTGCCCTTCACAAACTGCATTTCAGTTCTCTCAGATTAATGAATAAATAAACGACATATGGTTTTCTTAGCTGAAGACTTAGCTCTTACTGTTAGTGCGTTGTTACATCTTGCACAGAAGTTCAAAAAAAAAAATCACATATTTCTGTAAAGTTACCATATAGTATTTACAGCATACCATAATACTGGTATACCATACAATATAAGTACAGTTAAAGTATCGAATGGCTTAAACCACAATCATTTACAAAAACCTCGTCCTTCAAGGAGCATCAGAGCTTTCATTAGCTTGTAATACCTGGGATCAGCTAACCCCAAAGTCCCAAAACCAATCACTGTAAAGCCCCTCCAGGGAAAGCAATAACAAACCAGTGACTGAAGTTTTCCTTTCCCAAAGCAAACAAGAGTCTTGATGAACTCCCCATAACTGAAAAACTTTAGATTCTGTGTTTACTTTTAGTCTTTAATGGAAGCATCCACCCAGCAACAGGAGCATCCTAACACAGCTAACAGGGCTCACATACCTGAGGTCACACTGTGTTTAAACTTTAATGTTCGAGTAATTTATGAAACAACAGGAACAGATGAGGAGTGTGTTTATTTGTTCTCAAGCCACTTTCCTTCTAGTAAAGTGTGGCCTAAACACACCTAGCTTCTTTTTTTGTTGCTAGCTTAACTAATGTTACACATGAGAAAAATAAAGGACATAAAGAACAAAGTCTGCTGCATGAAAACAGTGAGCACTGTGTAAAGCAGCTCTGCAATGGTCTCTTTGTTTTGGGTTGGTTGAACTCAGGGGTAGTTCCTGCATGTCTTGCTTTCTTCTCTTCAGCCTCCCTTCTGAGCAAATGTCTGTAGTCTGCAATTAGACCAGGAGTACTTAAGGCCAGAGGGAGAAGAGCCAGAGCGACTCTGCAGTCTGCTGCTGACTGCTAAATCCTGCTCAGTGAAGAGGAGGGTGTTTTTAATCATTTAACCTTCTTGATTTGCTCTTTTAGTGATCAGCTTCTAGGTTTTGCAGTCTCTTTCTTTTCACTGTGATAGGAGCTTGTCTGTCTCTTTTAGTTTAATAAGTAAAAATTAAACTTCTATTAGCAATTTTTTGTTTCTTCCCCACATGACAGACTTTCAGGAGAAGGTAACGGGAAACCAGAGCTGCATTACAAAAGGTCAAAAACCATGCACAGACGATCAAATTATTAGTCCTGATGTGGTTTTTACTCCAAAAACTCGACAGCATCCTCCACTGCAACCATACTTGTTGTTAAAAATGTAGTAAAAAGAGAAATTAGAGTTCTGGAACTACAAAACACAATGCACAGTTGTTTCCACCAATGATCAGCGAGTCTCCCAAAACATTTAATAAACTGTAGTAATGTAAAGTAATCCTATTAAAACAGCTTCAGTAACTGTAGAGAAACACATGCAGTGGAAACAGTGAGAGCCAGTAACACACCAAACAGCTGACTCTTAAACAGGACTATGATCTCATCCTTATTCACATCACACCCTAAATAACAGACACAGGATTGAGCCTTCATCCTTCTCTTGCCCCTCAAACGATCAAATCTCCACGAGGCCCTCACATCTTCTTGCTGTCAGATTATATTTGTTGGTGCAAACACACATTCACCTAGCATGCAGTTTATCTTCAAATAAGGAAAAAATTATTACTTTGCTTTTGTTTGCAGGTAAGTATGCACTACCTTGCACTGCATCAAGTCTGTCATTTTTCAATTACAGCCCAGCAGCGTTGGTGCTGATGAAACTTTATAGATAAAAGGTGTCTTTATATGTCAATACATGTAACTCCCAAATTAGGTGTCGTTACAGAAGATTTACACAAAAATGATGTATTTCCTCATGCTAGTCTCACCGCACTGAGGTGAATAAATACACTGAAAGTCATTTTTCCATCAGATTCCCACTTCCTCCCCAGAGGAAGTAAAATGCAGCTCTATTTGCAGTAACAACATTTCACACAGGCTTTAATGCTCTTTATCATTTCAGACGCTGGGAAGCTTCTCCATCATTTGTTTATATGATTTTTCTACTCAAGTTATGTAGAAATGCTTCATAAACCACCTTTCTATCCTTTGTGCAGTCCAGACTGATATGTACTGTAGGTAATCTCAGATTAAGTGCGCCTGTGACTAAAAAAGTGGGAGATCAGATGTGAAGATAAAAGCAAAAGCCACATTTTAGCATATTGGAAAGCTGCACTGCTAACAGTCGCATGGATAAGAAGATGAAGATATAAATGCTGGTGAGAGCGTCACGACCACGATGGAGGCAAAGACACACAGCAGCTCTACAGCTACGTGTTCGCACAGTGCGACAGGTTTACTTGGTGGCACTGCAATAACTGTGATGCTTCTCTTGATATCTGACCTTTTAAACAGAGGTATTTGCTGTCGGGATGGACTCGGATTTCACCTCAAGTGGAGCTCAACCTATTTATCTCAAAGCTGTGAACAAAGAAGTGATGGGTTCCCACTAACCTGCGCTGCAGGTATAAATCATGACATTTTTTGACTTTTCTTTTTAAGTATCTTGAACTGATAAATTATAGCAGGAAGGAAACTATTGTTCGTCACGGTGTGAAAACCCCCCACAGTGAATGTGAACCTGCACCTGCCTGGGTGGAAGTTGTCTTTCATGTGATAGCGAAGGATGGAAAAGCCTTTAAATTCCTCCTGGATTAAACAGCAAAGTAAACAAACAACATAGACCAAGATCTGACCTCACGTTCCCCTCACTGCATTTCAAAATCACAGCGAGGATACTGAGTCGAGTTATAATCGCAGACCATCAGAAGAAGCTGACTGACAGAAAATATAAAGCATCGGTTGCTTGTTTAGGGCATCATTAATTAAAAATACCTGTTTTGGGACTACTTGCCATAAATTAATTGTAGTGACTGAAACAGAGAATAAGACGTTTCTTAGCTGCCGCTCTGAACCAAAGCCTAAACTAAACCATTACAGCACTAAAAATCGTCACAGCTTTTCATTTTATCATAAACAGTTTCATGTAATTTTCCTTTTCTCGACGGACTAATATAAGAACGATTTTCAATCGGCGTATCGTACGAAACACGCTCATCATGCACTTTTATGTGCGTTTCAAACAGAAAAGTGCATTTTGTTTTGTTTGTGTGGTAAGAATCAGAAGCCTGACATCTCATTACTACTACGCTTAGCAACGTGATGTCCTGTTGTTACATAACAGAGACGACACAAAGACACCTGATGCAACAAACCACCAAAGAATAAGTCTAATCTTCTTGCAGCGTATTCTCTTTAAGTGTTGAATACAAACACTCATGTGGAACAGAAAGGTAAGTGAAGTATACAACATCATAGAATCTGCTCCTTTCTTCCATTATTATATCAGCGGGATCACAAGACTCCACATATCTCTGCATATAATATACGTATCAGGTCCAAGAAGCCTTCAATGTATCTGAGGCTGTCACTGGTTCCTGTTAGCAGAGTCACATTAATGACTCTATGCTCAGTTAAAGACTCCAGGCGAGGTTAGGGAAAGCCAGCTGGTTTTATGAGATAATCTGCAGGGTTAGGTAGGCGAGACTGTAATGTGTCCTCAGATTAGACAGCTGTCTCGTTCATATCACCTGTTGCTGTGAATTCTTGTGAAGATGATGAACTTTAGGCGAGCAGCCCATGTGAGTATTGATCTATTCATGCGAGGAATCTCTTTTCTACTCCTAAGAGTGTGAAAAAGACGGTGCCTGGACTTCTGCACATGTGTGAAGACATTTCATCTCTCAAACAAGAAGCCTGTTCAGTTCTAAAAACAAAAAGCTGGAGGGACCCAGGTTTAGTTGGGGTTGTCTGCTTTGGAGGCGGGCGTTCATCATATAACAACAGGATTTCAGTGCTGAAAGCAGCGGTGATGAAATATATCAGTCTTCTAAGCCTGGTTTTTCCCAGATTTCTTCCTGTTAAAAAGGGAGTTCTTCCTTCCCACTGTCGCCAACTTTGTGGATTAATCTAGTCTCTGAACAAAACTAAACTCATTTTACTTTACATACTGCTGAGTAGCTGAAGCAATAATTGTACTTCTATTACATTTTCTGTTTAATAATCTAAAAGGTGCAAAATAATTAGTAAAAACCACCGTGTCCCTCTTTAGACGCACCCCTGCCTGCTGCAGCTGTTATTGATCGTCTGCAACTTACAAGAAACCAGCAAAGATTGTGGTGAAATATATGAACTGCATGCAGACAGATTCTGTTTGGGTGGTGGTGAAATCACATTATTCTTCATGTTTAATTTGTGATAAACATAATTTGATTAAAGACACTTGTTGGACTTTCACCAGTGAGATTTTGATTGTAGCTACAGTAACAAGCAACAGTTCTGATGAGTCCTCCTTACTGTAGTTTTCACATCAGAGTTCATGCTAAGGAAAATAAAAGCTGCTCATTATCTTAAAACACTGAA